GAAAATCATGGCAAATAGAGCAATTTGTTGATGTGACCGAATGTTCAAGACACATTGGCTTCTTACATTTGTCGCACAGCTTTCTGGTTTTTCTACGGCGTTTTTCCTCTTGTGCGTAACATAAATAGCAAGATCCGGACACAGGTTTTGGCGTGCGCGCTGCGGCAGATGTTGATGCTGCTGTTGACACCATTGATTCCACCGGTCGGTTGAAATATGCTTCAATAGCAATTTTAGTCGAAAAATTTCGCGTCACTTGACGATTTATGGCTCTGGCTTCAATAATGGGCATACACAATGCTTCAGCCAAGCTGCGCAGGATCTGCTTACGCTTGTTGTTTGTTCTCCAAGGCAACATAGGGTTATTCAAATCGTAGACAATGTAGGCTGTAATGTCCAACATGTTGAAGAACATCGCTAGTGGCCATCGTTTTGTTTGTCTTTGTGTTGGATATTCCGCAAACATTTGGTCCATTCGATCAACACCACCTTTGGTACGATTATAATATTCAATTATTTCAGGTTTCCCACTGTCAGCTATTTCAGCATCATTATGCATGGTCGAAAGCAAAATTACTGCTTTATTTTTTTTGGGAACATAAGAGCACATTGTCACATTATTTTTGAAGCCAAATGTCGTTGAACCAATTGTCCTGTTTTTGTTCTGCTTCATTTCTTGAGGAATATATGATTTGTTTTTGCGCAAAGTTCCAACGATCGTGAGTTTCCAGGTGAGAAGCAGTTCTGCAACTGGCAAGGTCGTAAACAAATTGTCCATTGTAATGTTTCGGCCACTTCCTTGGTATTTGGCAGACAAATCCTTCACCACTCGTTCGCCTTGGTTCGTTTCCCTACCAGTTTCTGCTTGGCCAGTATATATTTGTCCATGCAGTGGATATGCATTTGTGGCATCGCAAATCCACCAAACCTTGATACCATATTTAGCAGGTTTTGACGGTATGTACTGCGTAAACCGTGTGCGTCCACGGTAAGGAAATAATTGTTCATCAATCGTCAAGCATGAGCTGGGCTTGTAATGTGCAGCAAGATTATTGTTCATCATCGTCCACAACTCACTGATCGGTGCTGCTTTATCAGTTAGTAAGCGTGTTGCACGAGTGTTTTTATCGTCAAATCTTAGGAACCGCAATATCGAACAGAAACGGTTGACTCCCATTGTGGCGCGATATAAAGGATAGTTTTTGACGCTCCATAAATCTCGAACATGTTCTCCATTGCTATGGTTCGTGTGTTACGTTCAAGCTTACTTTTGGAAAGAACTTTATTTTATATATTCAATATAGGGATGTGTTTTACAAAGTTCAGTAATAGTACAAAGTAATCGATTATTAGTAAAGGTTAATGCTAACGTTGTGTTTACACCACAGTAATCTTACAACATCTCTCTTTCCTAGAAAGCTATGTGTATGGCTTAACATTAAAATTAATTCATGTAGTATAAAAGGCTTTTTGAATTATACAGCAAATATAAATTTAGATCATAAAGCGAAAATTTGAGTTTAATACAAAATGTAATGAGTTATACAGCAAATATAAATTTAGATTATAAAACGAAAAGTTTGAATTTATATACATAAGTATTAAATATTTAATCGGGTTGGGGGTACAATCTTTCTTCCACTCCTCGTTCTAACAGCGGAAGCATTATCAGTTAATTCTATCGTGGTGCCTTCAAGAGGCTGTGAATCAAAAGCGGTGGTTTCTTTATCTCCCCCATTAGCGTAAGCGTCCCCAATACTCCGTTTCAGTACCGGCTTTAATATGTGCTCTCAGTTTCTTCTGTAGACCACACCCTCAGGGTCTTGAACCATGAATGACCTTGGCTCCTTTAAATCTTTTATTATTGTACCCGGGCACCAAACTGATGTTGGTGTTTTCTTAAAATAAATTTTCTCTCCCGGATTTACTGGTTTCAAATTTTTTGCGGACGTATTATAATTTTGTGACATTTTAATCTTTTGTTTGTTTATTTGTCGTCTATACTCATTAACATCAACTAATTTTGATTTTAAATTTTCTTGTTGTGATGGCAATTTGGTTCTCAGCTTTCTCGACATCAGTAACTCGGATGGACTTGAGAGATCGTCTTTGGGTGTTGTTCTATAATGCAGAAGCGCAGTATATGGGTCTGTTCCTTTTTCTTTGCATTTGTACAACATTGTTTTGATTGTCTGAACAGATCTTTCTGCTAAACCATTTGATCTTGGCATATAAGGACTGGAAGTAATGTGTTCAATACACCAATCTGCGCAAAACTGTGCAAAGTCTTTTGAACTGAAAGGCGGGCCATTATCCGTTATGAACACAGCCGGTATTCCCTGTCTGGCAAAAATTGACTTGAGTTTCATTATAACCTGGGTGCTGGAATACCCCGTACTTAAAATTTCACATTCAATGAACTTTGAGTAGTAGTCAACAACTAACAAGTAAGTCTTTTTATCAAATTCGAACAAGTCAGCACCCAGCTTGTACCAAGGAATGTTGACCATTTCATGGCACAACAACTTTTGTTTAGGATTAGATTTACGAAATTTTAGACAAATTTCGCAACTGGAGACTACATTGTGGAGGTCATTATTGATATTAGGCCAGTACACAGAGTTTCTAGCCAAATTCTGGCATCTCTGTATACCCATATGTCCCTCATGTAAGTAATACAAAATTTTTGGTCTAAGATTTTTTGGTACAACAACTCTGTTATTTTTTAGCAATAGCCCATCTATCTCAACAAGCTCATCTTTAACTTGATAATAAGGCATCAATTCTTTATCAATTCGCTTTTTATTTGCGGGCCATCCATTCTTCGTAAAATACAAGAGTTTTTGAAAAATTGTATCTGTTTTTGCTGCCTCTCTAAACTCATCTAAGTGACTACTTGGCAAAGCAATTTGCGAAATAATTAAATTACAGTGAATATCAATATCTTTGTCCACTTCCGTCAGTGCATAATCTTTAAGTGGCGCTCTGGATAACGTGTCGGCAATAAACAAGTCCTTTCCGGGCTTGTAAACGACAGTAATGTTGTACGCTAATAATCTGAGCATGAATCTTTGCAGTCGCGCGGGAATCTTATACAAAGGTTTGTTGACAAGTGTAACCAACGGCTTATGGTCCGTTTCTACAAGGACATGACGTCCATAAACATACTGATGGAAGCGTGTACATCCGTATAGGATAGCAAAGAGCTCTTTTTCGATCTGGGCATAATTTGTTTGTGTTTCAGTTAGTGAAGCAGATGCATAGGCAACAGGGTTCCTGTCATGCATAATGACTGCTCCAACAGCATATTTGGATGCATCGACTGACATGACTAATTGTTTTTTAGGATTGAAGTAGGTCAAAACCGGTACATTTGTAATTTCTTTAAGTAAATTTTGAAATTCTTCCTCTTGTTTATTGTCCCAATGCCATACTACATCATTCTTTAAAAGGTCTCGTAAATATTTCGTTTTTGCTGACAGACTATCAATAAAACAACCCAAGTAGTTAATCATTCCCAAAAAGCGCTGTAATTCTTTTACATTTTTTGGTACCGGCATCTCAACTATAGATTTAATTTTCTCTTCATCTGGCTTAACGCCTTTTTCACTAAATATGTGTCCAACGAATTTGACTTCCTTCTTTAAAAATTTCGATTTTGATTTATTGAACCTTAGCCCAACACTTTGTGCCCTTTCCAAAACTGACTCTAAAATGGCATTATGTTTTTGAACGTTCGGAGCATGGATCAAAAAATCATCCATATATATTATTAGACCCTTAATGTGGCCGAATAGTCTAATCATTTCTGAATGAAAAATTTCCGGCGCTGCATTGATACCAAACGGTAATCTCAGAAATCGGTAACGCCCAAAAGGCGTGTTAAATGTACATAACTTTGATGATTCTATATCTAATGGTATCATCCAGAAACCTGAGTTAGCATCTAATGTGCTGAATATTTTAGAACCTGCCATTTGCGACTTACATTCATCGATGTTCGGAAAGGAAAATCTTGGTCTGACTATAGCCTTGTTTAAATTTTTAGGGTCCAAACACACACGTAAATCTCCGTTGGGCTTAGCCACTAAAACTATTGAGTTGACCCATTCGGTCGGTTCACTAACTGGCTCTATAACCTTTAACTTCATCATACTGGACAGTTCCCTTTTTAGTGGCTCAAAAAGTCCAAATGGAACTCTGCGTGGTGCATCTACTACTGGTTGATAGTTTTCCTTTAATTTCAAATGACACTCACTTTCCAACTGCCCTAATCCTTTAAAAACTTCTTCATATTTTTGTAACAGGCTCTCGCAGCCTTTTGATTCACAGCTTATTGTAGTCACCATTTTTACCAAATTCATTTTAATAGCCAATTCAAGACCGATCACATTTTTACATTTCATATTAAGGACATAAAATTCAGCAGAATAAGTTACTTTTTTATACAACAATTTTACATTGACTTTTCCTAGTAGAGGCAATCTTTCCCCGCTGAATGTTAAAATATTATGACATATCTTACTTTCTAGCTTACCGATATTTAATTTATTAAAGTTTTCGATCGATAGTAAGTTCGCCTGGGCCCCCGTGTCTATTTGACACTTCAGCTTCGCGTTGTGTATCTCCACCTCAATGTTCCAGTCTTTCACCGCACCAGTTCTGCCACTGCTAACAATTTTACTCACTCCTATCACATTCGTTTTTGTTGTTAAGTTTTTGTTCCTGACAGTTTCAACATGTATTCCGCCCACGAAAAATTGCGACTCGTGATCTTCATTTTCTTCCTCTTCTGCACTTGTCTCGCTCTCTTCGTATACGTTTCTCACATATCTCTTTTGCCCGTTATTCCCCATGTTTCCTTTACGCCATTTTGTGAAGCAGACATTTGCAAAATGGTTCAATTTTCCGCACGTGTAGCATTTTTTACCTTCTGCCGGACATTTGGTTTTATGTACTTGCCCACATTTATCACACGTTCTTGATGTTTGCTGCTGAGCCTATCTAGCACTCTTCTCCTTGTAGTTCAATGCAGATTTTCTCAAAGCTGCTACCTGTATGCTTTCGGTTGGCTCACGTTGTATCATGGCTGCATTTTCTTTTGCTAGTTCCATGCTATTAGCTATTTCAATCGCTTTATGCAATTTTATGTTGCCTTCGCTTAAGAGCCTCTCCTTTATTTTATTGTATTTTTGTGATAAACCGCATATAAAAATGTCCCTTACCAGATCTTCACGTATATCCCCGAATTCACAAGTTTTGCTAAGATTTTGCAATGCGGCAGCGTACTGACTTATTGTCTCTTCCGAGGATTGACGTTTTGTAAAAAACCTGTGGCGCTCTATTACTATATTGACTTTTGGAGTGAAATACATTTCCATTTTGCTCCATAAGTCGTCATATTGGACGCTGTCTATATCGACATTAAACGAAGTGAAAATGTTTAGACATTCTGCACCCAGATGGTGCAAGAGAAGTGCAACTTTTCTTTGCTCGGTTTGATTATCTAAAGCAGATGCACGCAGAAATATTTTGAACTGCGTACTCCAAGCCTTCCATTCCGCCGCCAGATTTGACGCTCTTATGTTCAAAGGTGCTATGGTAGTAGCAATAGATAGCACTCGCTGTGCCTCTGACATGGTAGCGTTGCCTTCATCTACCATTTTTAATTTTTTATACACGTAGTATATACTATTTTTATTTAATAGCTTAGCTTTGGTTAGCTTTTGAGTTATTTCGTTGTGCAACTATTTTAATTGACCCCACCTGACGCCATGTGTTACGTTCAAGCTTACTTTTGGAAAGAACTTTATTTTATATATTCAATATAGGGATGTGTTTTACAAAGTTCAGTAATAGTACAAAGTAATCGATTATTAGTAAAGGTTAATGCTAACGTTGTGTTTACACCACAGTAATCTTACAACAGTTCGCACCAGTCATAATAAGTATGCCAAAAAATGCATACAGCTCTGTTATTGACACAGGCGTCCATGACTTAGGAGTTGTGTTTGGATGCGCATTGTTGTAAGCATTATAAGTTTCTTTTGCTAACTTATTTGTGTGGCGCATAATTATATCAGCCATTTCAACGTTCATGAAACATTTGAATGTTTGCTCTATTGACAACATTTCAGTGCATCTAGCTGGTCCAGAACGTTCTCTTATAATATTTTGTCTGAGTACCTGACGACTTACATTTGGTTCTTTCATCCACTCAGTACCATCACGTGCAACAAATTTTTCGGCACTAGCAGGTAATTCATTATTTTCTTCTACTTCTTCTTCTTCATCATCCTCATAGTCCGCATAATCAGGTAATACTTCTGCGGCACTTTGCCGAAACTTCAGCATCGTCATCAGCAATTTCAATGTCATTGATTTGAATTTCTTCTTCATCTTCTGAGTCAAAGTCATAGGGAGCGTCATCGTCACAAATTTCATCAAATAAAGATTGTATATATGATTCTCGCTGTTCCTCAGTTAGCCTGCATAATAAAAAAAAATTAGTATATGTTTACATTGTTGCTTATTTTACATTTTTTACCTTCTATATGCTGCACTTGATAAATATTCGTTTCTTCTTGAAGTCATTTCGTATCCAGTTATTTATAGTTTCAGTTATATTTATTTTCACTTATATTTTCACTTCTTACACTTTTGAGCACCAAAACAATAATGAAAATATCAACAGGCAGCATTTATAACAACACCTCGTGTGAAAACAACCCTTGCAGCTGCATATAAAATACAAAAACCAGTTATACCAGTGTATTTGCTACCTACGTACCAGAGAACAGCTTTGAGTATGATCGAGCCTTTTTGATCACACTCACTAAAAATCAAGCACAAGCGAACGCCACACTCGGCTACTATGTGTTCGATCGAGATGCATACCCGACAGCTGCTTTGGTTACGAACGAGTCTGTTCGATCACCCTCGCTATAAATTGAGCACAAGCGAACACCACACTCGGACACCCGCAGCTAACCCGAAAATTTGTGTAACAATGAAACGGACACCCGAACATTGCGATAAAATGCAGGACAACAAAGAAATTTACGCTGAAGGTAACTGGCGCCAATATGTTCCCACAAAGCATACGAAAATGTTGTTGCTTTGTGCTTGTGCATACGCAATGAAAAAATTAGAAGCGAAGTAGACAAAAATGTTTTTGCATCTATTTCGTATAGTTTCGCGTGGAAAGCTGTGTGTGTATATATTAGAACACAGCCTAAAACTATGTAGGTACATAAGTACTTTTACAAAAAATAAATGTGCACCGAGTGTATAGGGCTTGGGCATTGCCGATCTACACACCTTTATACCTAAATGGATGTAGGCGTCGTGATGTCGCATTTTGTATGAGCAAAAATATAAGAAATGGTTAAATGTGCACTTAAACAAACTACCGAAAAATTCAACCTTCTCTTTGCCCTCTACGCACAAAAACTAAGAACACCGCGATGAGAAGGCAACATTTTTTGTAGAAACAAAAACGTCATAAGCCAATCAAGAAAATTTTGTGCACACTCGGGTTGAAACTCGAACACCCGGGTATATTGAGCTGCAAAGCACCCGAACCCAATCAAGTATGTATGAAAAGCAATCGGGTGTTGTGGCCAACATGTTCGTCTTGAGCTCAGTCGATAACGAACAATACTTCTGCTCGTATACAGAGAACGATGCCAAACGGGTTTTGTTAGATGATCGAGTATACACGAAAATCATGCACCCGCTGCAGATGTCTACTACGTACCCATACCTTGCGCGACCTTTTTGCACATATCTTTTGAACCAGGTAGAATATTTCAATGAAATAAAAACCAAAATGTGTATTCGTTGTTACTCTACAAGTATATTATTATAAATTATATTATTTTGTTTTGCATTTATCAGGACAACAACAAAAACAAAAATCCACTGTTGCATGTCCTGACTTTATTTGCCCATATCGCTGGAACCAGTAGGAATATTCGAATAAAACAAAAGACAAAATACTTGTTATATATTAAAATATACATTTCAAAAAAAAAATCATAGAAATCGGTTGAATAAGCATTAAAAAAACCGCAAAATAAGGTCCCGGGTACAAACGTATCCCGGGTGTGTGTTTACGTGGTATTTTCTGGGTGTGTGTTCTAGGGTTAAAATTCGAACAGTTTTAATCTCAAACAACAACAATTGTGAACAATGCCATTTTTTTTATTTTCAATTTTATATGATTTTAAAATGTTTGCAAACGTCAGGAAAAAGTCATGGCCGACGAATGGAGAGAATGGTTTTACCCACGATAAAAATATAGTAAGGTAGAACCGCTGAGAGTCACTTTTAAAATTCTTGACGTTTCCATACAATTTAATTTTTAAATTTACTCACAAACTCACACACACATTTTCATTTTCAATCTCAAGCAACAACAATTTCGAACAATTTCATTTTTTTATTTTCACTTATATATGATTTTAAAATGTTGGCAAACTTCAAAAAAAAAAATCATGGCCGACAAATTGAGAGAACGGTTCTACCTTGCTATGTTTTTATCATGGTTTTACCTTCTAAAAGTATAAACAGAACCAGATCGCTGTGCGAATTTCGTCGGCCGGAGCGATGCCGTTGGGTGATATGCGCCGCAACATTTCGCCCAGTAAAACAGAACAGAAACGAAATTCGCATCAATTAAATGGCAAATAAAAAACATAAAAATACAAAAGCGAAAAGATAAATCGCAAAATTTTGCCATTCTGATTCTTGCTGATAATTATCTAATAGAAAAATGGGGAAACAAAGCTCTATTTTCACTGAGAGCTGATTTTGTGACCGGCGGCAGCAGCAAAATTAAAAATAAATCTATTGCCGAATTTCGTCAGACGAAATTCGTCGTCACTTTGATTGTGTGACATCTCATAAACTGTGGTTAATTTTGGCAGCGAATTTTCTTCCGACGAATTTCTCTGGGCGATTTGATTCTGTTTAAACTTTAATGTTTTTATCATGGTTGGTACTATTGTTAGAATCTATTCCTCTTGATACTATTATTTTTTTTTCAGAGGGTTTACTTAACATTAACAACGACCGCATAGCTGGAGTAAATTTTCTTCCTTTCGATAGTTTTATTTGAACTGATTCCTTTACTCTACTTGCGAGATGTTTAGGTTTTTTGACTTTTCAGCTATTATGATCGGCGTCTTCTTGTTTTCTTTCCAAGTTCTTTCCACTATATTTACCCTATTAAGAAAAAACTTTACGATGTCGTTATGTTTTTTTTTTTCAGTTATATCTTTTTGCATTAATTGAAGTAGATTGAGCTCATCTTTAGAAGATATGACTGATGGTATAAGAGCTCTCGTACACAAGAGATATAGTTGGCGGTGAATTCGTCTATAAATTGTGGTGAGTAGCGCTTTATCAGTTCATCATAAACTTGACCCGCACCGATTTTACCTTCACCCGAAGATGTTTTTGCACTAATAGGTGCTGTGTATCCCTTCCCTTTTATATTGGCTTGATCTAAGGTATCTTTTTTAACACTTGCACTTATATATCTGCTATTTTGGTTCTCATATCCGTTAGGTTATTTCTTATGTTACTAAAGTTCTTATCTAGATTTTTATTTTTCATAGCCGTCTTGTGTAGATAACACTTCATCCATCTTGACGTCCATTACAGCTAGCCGTGCAGCATCTTCATTGTCTAATCTACTATGCACTTTGTGAATTTCCATTAGAATTCCTTCATACGTAGTGTTGAGTTGTCTCAAGATAGCGTCTACAATGTAATTTGCCACAGTGTTCTCATTTTCGTTGTTGGTGTTTCCGACAGCGTAGGAGTGTGATGCAATGTGGAACGATTTTTCGTCATTCCTTGTCAAATTTGGTTTGGAGACAAACGACTTTCGGCGTTGTACCATCTTCAGTGTAATTTTTCGTTCTGAATAGTTTCTCGTTTGTCTGCCACTATTTATAGCCGTACTAAATCGTCGTTGCTTCTTAGTTAGGTACGTCTCAGCGGATTATATTCTTTCGTTCAACCAGTGGTTTTTGTTCTATGCATACATCCTCAGGTAGAAATCAGCTGCTCACTTCTTCTTGATTAATTTTTGCATGGATTCGCGGCGGCCTGAAACCCGCCAAACGCCGGAAATGCTTGTTGTGGAGTTGTACCCTATCTACTTATTGTGTTCGATTTTTCTTCTCCATATATTTCCTCTGCTTTATGCGATGGTGGCTCTTTTCAACAGCCTTTCGAACACCTCTCTCGAACTCGAAGGCACCATGTAGTTGAAAAACGCCTAAATAAAAAATAAAATTTTTTTTAAAAAGACCGGCTTATTTTTGTTTGCATTTTTTTTTTACCTCTCAATACTTTTTCAATAAAATCAAGATTCGCCAACGCTTGCTTTTTTTCCCCTTCCATTCCAATTAAAGGACTCCAGGAGATTACCGGTAAACAAGTTCCGAATGACTCCATCCACCTCCTCAGAAGTGCCCTTGAGCTTATGACAATATGTTGTCTGCAGAAAATAACAATACAGAAAGAATATATTGGCATGAGAAGGTAGAAATATTATTAGAAAATATTATATGCTCATTTTTTACCAGGGCATGTACATATAGGAGAGTGGAACTCCGACCAGTTTTCATTTTTTTTGTGTTTTTTTTTT